TGTATATAATTATTTGCGTATTTAAAATTTGACGCTGCAGGTTGTAAGTATAGAATAGATTTGACACACTGCGGGCCGGTCTTGATTTACGGTGTGCTCTTCAAAAATAAAACGACCTGCCATTTCTGCTTAAAATTTTGTGTATTTACTTCAACATATACATGCATATAATATAATAATACAATATATAATTTCATACATAATTAAACATTTCAAATATTTGTTTGGTGGCCGACATAGTTGGCAATTGTGATGAAGTATAAATTTTAAGAATGACTTGCAACGTACTATACACGATTTGTTATTTTGCGTAGGTATCTAATACATAYCTAAATGTTGGTTAACCGTTGTAGAGTTTTGTGTAATTTACTATAAAATGAAGAAATGTATAGTATAGTAGACAAAAAGCGCTGACGCCTGAYAGSATGAAGATTATTAGGTTTAGGTATGATAAGAAAACGAATTATTTCATATAGTTACGAGTGCAGAGCCTACGAATATTTACAGTGCGTAAAAATCAACTCAACAGATCGGAACGACAATATTGATATAGATATACGAATATGTAGGTAATCTGCAAATAATGAAGGACGAGTAAAAGTGCATCCTTTGGAACAAAATTGTTCACATTTGATTTTAATAAATAGAATATTTAATTATTATGTAGGTACTTTTGAAATCATTAATGAAAGAAAATCGTTAAAAAAAATATTACAATTGTATATTTTTTTTATAATGAGTACCTCCTACTACGCCTCTGTAGGTATACGTTTGGTTGTTCAACGATTTGAGTTATTATTATTGTAACTATTTTATTTTTTATGTTTAATATGGTATTGGAAGCTGGTAAACAGTCAACAGTAAAATTATTTTTTCTGAATTATAAGTATGAGTTGGTTAACAATAAATACAAAAGTATTGAACTGTATAGTTAAAATTTAATTTTTGTTTGCCTGTGTATAACTAGGTATATAATTGTTGTGTGCTTACTGGTTGTTAAATCAATAATAACACGACGAGTTAAATGTTACACCTTCCAATATTACTATATACCAGCAAGAGCTATTGAGTTTAACATGAACACTTACATTGAAAATGAAAATATCGCTTATTGTTATTTATATGATCTGAAGAGGTGATAGGAACTTTCCTGGGCACATATTATATTATTGCTCTTCTATCTGTGCACTACCAACAGCCACCTGCCAGTAGATACATAATAATATTATTCGTATTATAATAA